CATGGTGGTGGGCAGGGCATGGGAGGTGCCATTCCGGGGGTCACCCCCAGGAGGCAGGATCCTGAGAGTAGGATGAGGTAGTTTTCTTATAACCTCTATTGCCTGGGGTCGGGGGGAGTCTTGATATGGAGAAAAAACTCCCTGTGGATCTGTTTCCTCCTCACTGGAGGAAAGCTGCTCAGATCCTGACTCAGGCATTGGAGAAGAATATGCATTCATCAGGGGAGACTGCAGGATAGGTGATACCAGGAGATCTGCTGTCTGAGTAAAGGGAAGTAGTGAGGCTCCTGCGTGAGGTGAAAGCTGAGCAGGGGGAGGCTGCCGTGCGGGAGCGTTCCTCTGAGCAGGGGTTTTGCCTGTGACCTCCCTGTCAGACTGCACCACGGGGTCGGTGCCGCGGTCGGTGCCGGGCGGGCAATATCAGCCTGCATGGGATCAGGCATGTTGTAAAATGTCGGCACCGCATCCGTCGCGGTGCCGAACGGTGCCGTAATAGAGGCAGGCAACTGGAAGCCTGATGCCTCGGCACCGGAGCCTCGCGCCGCAGCCTCAGGCGGCTTTTGCGCGGTTCCTGAAGAGCCCGGCTCATCAAAGTTGCTGAGGCGGGGAAACACAGGCAGGGAGACCGTTGATCTGCCTGGAGAAACTTTGTGCCTCATAACCTTGCTTGGTGAAGAAGGCTGCCCCTTCTTTGTAGATTTTTTCAGTTTTTTTGAGGCGGGGGGGCTGTGGCGGGCAGCAGAGCCGGCTTCAGCGCCTGGGTCTGAAACTGACCCGATAGACTTTTGGAGGAGGAGCAGTTTAAGTTTAAGCTCCCTGTCCTTCCATGCCCTGGAGCTGAGTTTACAGCAATGAGCACATTTTTGGGGAATGTGAGCTTCCCCCAAACATTTTATACACCTTGAGTGGCCATCTGATAGTGGGATAGCTTCTTTGCATGTAGCACAGCGCTTGAAGCCTGTGGAGCCCGGCATGGCCAAAGCGGCCGCGGCTGACAGAATTTTTTTTTTTTTTTTAAACAGATAAACGGCAACAAACTAGTTACTAAAAGGGTAATTGTAGCAAGAGTGAGGGATTTCCTAATGAGTCTGCTGAGCTCCGTCTCAGGCCGGGGACGGTAGAGAAGGAACTGAGGAGACCGGCCACGCATGCGTACTATCAACCTAGATTCACAGCGGGGGGGGGGGCAGCTTCTGAGCATGCGTGGCCGCTATGAGTACTGCTGCAAAAATCTCCGAGCAAAGGCGCAGGGACGCCCCAACACCTGGAGTGGAGCACCCACAGGGACATCTCTCGAAGAAGAACATAGACTTTAAGGTCAGAAGGAACCATTATGATCATCTAGTCTGACCTCCTGCACAAAGCAGGCCACAGAATCTCACCCACCCACTCCTGTATCAAACCCCTAACCTATGTCTGAGCTACTGAAGTCCTCAAATCGTGGTTTAAAGACTTCAAGATGCAGAGAATCCTCCAGCAAGTGACCCTTGCCCCACGCTGCAGAGGAAGGTGAAAAACCCCCAGGGCTTCTGCCAATCTGCCCTGGAGGAAAATTCCTTCCCGATCCCAGATATGGCGATCAGCTAAACCCTGAGCTGTGGGCAAGACTCACCAACCAGACACCCAGGAAAGAATTCTCTGTAGTAACTCAGATCCCACCCCATCTAACATCCCATCACAGGCCATTGGGCATATTTACCGCTAATAGTCCAAAATCAATTGCTAAAATTAGGCTATCCCATCATACCATCCCCTCCATAAACTTATCAAGCTTAGTGTTGAAGCCATGAAAAACATATCTATGTTTTTTGCCCCCATTGCTCCCCTTGGAAGGCTGTTCCAGAACTTCACTCCTCTAATGGTTAGAAACCTTGGTCTAATTTCAAGTCTAAACTTCCTGATGGCCAGTTTATATCCATATGTTCTTGTGTCCACATTGGTATTGAGCTTAAATCATTCCTCTCCCTCCCTGGTATTTATCCCTCTGATGACTTGTTGCTGTGAATATTTTCTTCTCTAGCCGTAACAAAAGATGAAGAAGACAGCAAATAAAATTATTTGTGTAACCTGAACATGGGACCAGGAGTCTCTCTTTTATAAGGCTGTAAAAGACTCAACAATCTTGCCACACCAACACTTTCATCAGTGGAACATTTCCCTTCTATTTCTTGATCTGTTGTACATAATCAGTTTGAGTCACAGGCTCTTCTTCCTCCTCTAGTAGCGTATCAGGCACTAGGATAGAAAAATGCTCTCCATGAAAAGGATGACTAGGTGAAGGCCAATATGACCAAGCCACCAAATGTGGCATATGCCAATCCTGCCAGCTACCAAACTCTGACACTGTCATTGCCTGTGGGGTGAGATAACTTTAGACTGCCTTCTGAGGCACAAAAGTCTTGATTAAAGCAGCTAATAGACCTCCGTAGCTCTGACCCAATCCAACCTTGGATCAGATAAAGAAATTATTGGAGAAGAAGTGACCAATGACAGCATCTGAAGAACAAAACGAGGAGATGGGAGAACCTAATGGTGTCTTCAGTGGTGGAAAAAAGGAATCTGAGGAGCTCTCTTATAAGAGAGAGATGGGAAGCTTTATCTTATTTCTAAGCATATTTTTAGATTTTTATCTATTTAAACTTTCAGTTGCAGGAAATTATGGATTGTCAGACTATTATTTAATGACAGTAGGCACAGCTTCAAAAAGTTAAAGCTTTATAAGCATTGAAACAAACTGTCAACACCATATGTGAAAATGTACAAACCAAACTTTAATAAGTTTTGAAGCAGAATTTTGCCTATCTGTACATTTTGGTTATCGTTGGAAATATTTTTCATGGTTTGAGTGTACAGTGAAATCAACGTTTACAGACATTTACTGACTACAATTAATCCTTTCAAACCTACTTATGTTGCATCACTTAATCCTCAGATTTAATAGGTCTAGCTGCCAAGGCCTCCTGTAAAATAAGGGCTTGAAGTCTATTTAGTCTTTCTGTGCTCAGGACTAAAAGTGCTGCCTATTGCATCGTACCTAATTACTTTTTTTTTTTAATGTTACAGGTTACTACAAGTGGAAAGAAGAACAGGAGTACTTGTGGCACCTTAGAGACTAACAAATTTATTAGAGCATAAGCTTTCATGGACTACAGCCCACTGAAAGAGTGCTTCAAGCTGATTTGTCCTCATCAGCAAAAAAAGAAGCGGTTCAGTGGTACTCATCAGCTTTGTTTATTACGCCAAAGAGTTGTAATGAGGCACTGGTTAAGACATCAGCATGCAGCCAGAAATTGCTGGAATCCATCCACAAATGGTATGCACAGTTACATGACACAATTACATAACAATTAATTACAATCCCAAAGTAATTTTTTTTTTTTTAATTCTTGCATTTACTTTGGTCTTCATCATTTTTAAGCATCAATGAGAAGATAATTAGCCACTGAATCTTTTACACCATGGAGGACCTGGTTAAACACAACACTCAGTGGCACCTTACAAGCTGTAAGTGCTCTCAGACTAAATTTGGCATGGTTGAAGACAAAGTACATTGAGCATCAGGAAAATGCTGAAAATGCCAGGACAAGTGCCAGTAGGGGGAGAAACTTGCTTTGTACTAGGTCCCATGGCATTTGTGTTTCGAGAAGAACACCTGCTTCCTCTGCAGTAAGCCCACAGCCATCCATCAAGCACAGTTTTAACACAGGAGAAGCTATATTAGAGAGAACGTTGCATGGAAAGTAAAGTTAAGTAAGTGCATTGACCCAAAAGACACCCATGCATATGACATTGTGTATTACATCGAGTGCTACACCGAGAAAGTATAGTACCATAAGGTAAAAGCAATAGAAAAATACCAATTTTACAACTGAAAACTGTGCAAATCAGCTGGAGTTCATAAATTACCTTGCAGATGGGACAGGAATGTGGTGGTAATGGCCAATGCAGAAGCCAAGTACAGAGAAATATCTGTTTTGAATGGGATTGAGGAGGAACAAATGCTCAGCAGAAAGGCTTTGAAAGCACTTATTGAAGATGAACTGTAGGATATGGACATAGTTTTTAGCAATCCTATCCTCAGAAACAAATCACAGTGCATATCCTTAAAAGCTGCAAAAGATATCCACTATCAAAAGTGGAAGAAAGCACCAATGTCAACAGTAATATGAAGACTGTTTGCAGCTGTGAAGTTTTTATGGAAAAGCATTTTGTCCTGCAGTATGTGGATGCCAAACCTGAAACAATAATGCCACATGACCTGTATTACTACTTCAAGCAGTGCATCCGTGGTTGCAGTGACTTCAGCACCAGAAAGTATGATAAGCAAGTGGAATACAAGCCTGCCAACTTGTCACAATGCCTCATGTACTAGTGCTTGAATGAAAGTCAGGCTTCCAATACATATGACAACTGTGTGGCATATGTGTGATCTATCACAAGTGGCTGTTGGTTTAACAATTCATTCTAAAACCTGCAGCAAATTCCACAGCATTGGCTCCTCAACTGACTTCAACAAAGTACTCAACCTGGAGATTGCAGTCACAAATGAGGTTCTTCACCCCATGGAACTGAATGAAGGGTTGTACATTTCCCCAGACCTCACCAAGGGTAGGTTTATATTTTGTGCTGCCAATAACTTAGACTTCCTTGAATGTACAACAGATAAAGGTACCCTTCATGTTACTCTTGTGGTCTGCGATCAGGAGCATATTAACAGGGACCAGTCCCAACCTCGAGTGCTGTCTGGACCAGCAAAGAACCATTCCCTGAAGGAGCTTCCTAACTCACTTTCCTACCAAGGTCCAAAATTTTTGAGCCAAGAAGTGCAGTGTTCAATGAAACAGCAGTTAAACTGATTATAGAGCTTTTTACATTCACTAACCTTGACCTCTGTCAAGGCTGCTTCCCCACTCTGAACTTTAGGGTATAAATGTGGGGGCCTGCATGAAAACTTCTAAGCTTAACTACCAGCTTAGATCTGGTCCGCTGCCACCACTCCCAAATGTGCTAATTCCCTTCCCTGGGTAGCCTTGAGAGACTCTTCACCAATTCCCTGGTGAATACAGATCCAAACCCCTTGGATCTTAAAACAAGGAGAAATTAACCATACCCCCTCCAACCTCCCACCAACTTCTGGTGGATCAAGATCCAACCCCC